CTGCAAGAAAAGAGAGGGCGGGTGGGCGGGGCTAATACCTGCTAAGATAAAACTGATTCTGGCAAATGACATACCCCCTAAGAAAAGAGTGTGGGTTGGGGGGCTAGCAGCTGCTAAAATAAGACCGATTTTGGCAAATGACATACCCTCCAAAAAAAGAGAAAGCGGGTGAGTGAATCTAGTAGCTGCTAAGGTAAGACTGAGTTTGGCTACTGAGATACTTTCTAAGAAAACCACGGAGGTAGAAGAGACCGGAGGGAAGGTGTCATGAATTTTGTGGCACAGACTCAGGCACCGTTTATGACCCTACTTGAAATGCGCGCTGTGCTAAACTCCACCCTCTAAATGTTTAGCAGTCATAACCAGTGGCGGGGCAACATATTTTATGTTGACTACCTTATATATAAGTCTCTAAAAGTTATTATGATCTTCATTTATTATCAAAGTCTATTCAAATTAAAAACACCACTAACGCGTCCAAAACTAAAACAGCACAACTAAATTCAAACTCAAGAACGAACAACTGCATATAAACAGCACGTGTTACGTGATAGTACGCCACTGGAAATCCAAACCCTGTCAGCTGTTGAGTGTAGGTGCGCGTTTGCGTCGGGCTGGCAAATATTGGCGGCTTGTTCAAATAAGATCATAACCGGTGTCTGACCGGGTCTTGAACGATGCCAGAATGGTTACATTGCTAGCATACGGTACGCTCCCTCCGGTCTCTTCTACCTCCGTGAAGAAAACACAGAGAGGGTGGGTGGGCGGGGATAATACTTGCCAAGATGAAACTGATTTTTGCAAATGAAATACCCTTTAAGAAAATAAATGTTTATTGTTTTCAACAGGGTCTACCCTAATTAAAGAATACAAAATACTGCACAGATTAACTTGAATAATTGACTATAATTTCTACAAATACTTACTTAACTCTATTTAAATCCTAACTAATATATAGATAACAAAATATACAACTCCTATTAATTGTTAAGTTCAGGCCATATTTTGACTGTTTTGGCAATCCTATACAAAGACGAATTCTTATGGATCTTCGTATTTTTGAAGATTAGACTTAGGACAATTGAAACTGATTAAACTTAGTAACTCCGAATCGTTTATTTTATTATTTATGAGTTTTACAAATAAGCGAATGTAAGCCGTAATTATACAACCTGCAACAGAAACAGCAGAATTTTTTTTTAACAGAATGTCTTGTGGAACACCTCTTTGTGGGTAACTACCGTGAATTTTGAAGTAGAGATATGTATTTAAAAAACCGACGTTGGAGATTTTCTATTTCTTGTGTATGTATTTTATAATTTGGGTACCAAATAAAATTTGCATACTCTAATTTACTTCTGACGAAGGCAAAGAAGAGCATTTTCAATGTTGTTTCATTTTGGACTTTTACACAGTTTCTAATAATACATTCCAGCATTTTAATGTTATCAGAGGTAACTGCTTTAATATGATCTACGAAAGATAGCATGTCATTAACAAAACTATTAAACAATAGTGGTCCAAGGACGGAACCTTGAGGCACACCAGAAGTGCCTGAAAATTTAAACGACCAGAAACCGTTATATTCCACAAAGTTAACTCTAGATAGTTTTTAACTGCGAAACAGAAACTGTCTGAAAAACCAAACACACTAAGTTTCTGCAGCGGTAGGCTGTGATCTAAATTGTCAAGAGTGTGATATCATTAAATTTGTCACAGTTGAACGGCTTTGAACAAAACCATGTTCATTAGCTACTATATGATTTTTAATTTGATGATATAGGACATTAAATATCACGATTGCAAAAACTTTGGCAAAGTTGTTTAAAATGGAAATAAGTAGGACGATAATTTTCTGTTTGACTGATCGTCTTGGCAAATGGGATACCTTTAAGAGAAGAGAGGGTGGGTGGGCAGGACTAGCACTTGCTAAGATAAAAACTGATTTTGGCAAATGACAAACCCTCTAAGAAAAGAGAGGGTGGGGGAGTAGATCAGTATTTATAACTTATTCGATTTAAAATACAAATTACTGTTCAATCATAGTGTTATCGCCTTCGGTATCTTTATCCCTATCATTTAATATAGTTATTAGTGGGCTTTGATGACTACAATGAGTGTAATAAATATCAGTTCTTAAATGAGTAATAAATCGTGTAAAAACGGCACCAATTGTTGTACCTAATTTAGTCGTTGGAACAGTCAAACGAACACATTTTAATAAATAGTGCTAGGTATTTTTGTTTTCGACTTCTATTTTTCTATTGCTTCTGGTTCCACATAGAATTTTCTCCTATCATATTAAATTCAGGCAAACCAGCATTTTGTTCTTCAAGGATAGCAATGTGCTGAAGAATATATAAATACTTATTAAATTCTCACTTCAACGTCTAGTTTTTTTCTCATTCCCAAACAATTTTTCTAGAATCATTTCTCTTCTTAATTCTTCAAAAACTCATTTAATTTATTATCTCACCAAAATTTCGTACTAGAAGAATTCTAGAATCTCTTTAAACTTCTTATTAACTTCTGTTCTCTTTTCAACGTTTTTTTTTTTTTCTTAAATGAAAACATTCTTATAAAACCGCTTCTCATTTGGATCATTCAACAACTATTTTAATTCATAATCCCTCCAAAATTTCGTAGCAGAAGCACCCTAGGACCTTTTTTTAACTTCTTATAAACTTCCTCCTTCGAAGTCATTTTTTTTTTCTTTTTGCAAAATAGAATGCCATCTTGACTTTCCCAGAACTTTGTGGGATTTCCCGTTTCAACTCAGATTATTCGAATAAATTTGTTCTTTTAGCAAAAAATCGAAAAATGGCAAATCGTGAAAAGGAAAAATTTTAACTTGAGAAGTTCGAAAATTAAAAATAAAAAATTAAAGTTAAAACTTGAAAAATCAAAAGATGGGAAATAAAAACTGCGAAATTTTGAAAAAAATTATCAAACTAAAATCTAAAAAAAAATGCCAACAGGAATTTCGAATTCGATTTTATAAGATTTGTTTTTTTCCCACCCTTATTTTCTTAGAGGATATGTCATTTGCCAAAATCAGTCTCATCTTGATCAGGACTAGCCCCGCCCACCCACCCTTTATTTTCTTAGAAAAGTGGGTCATCTGTCAAAATCAGTTTCATCTTGATAAGTACTAACCCCGCCCACTTCTGCGTCCTGAGGGTCGTTGTGATTTAGATACTCTTTGAATTCTAGCAATGGGTGTCAGTTGTGTTCTCTTTGAGCATCATGGGGGTCCTAAGAGGCGGAATCAGCACCACTCTCTCTGAGGCGTTTCATGTACATATTGTTTGATGGTTTATATTTTTCTCTCTCTCTTTCTATTGCGCCGCGTTACATGCCGATGTTGAGACTCAGTTCAGACTGATCTCGGTCTCCTCAACACCGACACCGACACCAACACCAACACCGAGTTCGCGCTCGTAGCTCGAACTCGACATCCTATTCCGGCGCGCGTCGTATACGTGTTCTTTAATACGAAAAGAAAGGAGTTAAAACTCCAAAAATAGAACACTGAAAGGTCAAAAGATTTTTTCAAATTCATCAAGCAACAAAGAAACACCAGATTCCTTTAAATTTATCCCAAAATAAAAACAACAGGTGACCTAAAATTAACTGCGAACATTTTATACCTAGGGTTTTGAAAACTTTGACAATTTTTGATACGTCGTATCAAATTATCACAAAAACAACATATGAAATGGTAATTAAACGTGGTCATGGACAAGAGAAATATTAACTAAAAGTTATTACTAGTTATTGTGATAGTTACAGTTCGGAATTATATGCAGAAAATTGCTCAAAATATGCAAGAAAAATTACATTATTTACACATTAATATTTTGTTTCTATCATCAGGCTAGTTTTTTTGAGACTGCTTGAGTAATAAACCTTGTGCTTTATTGATATATATTTTTAAATTTTCTTGTGAGATTAAAGAAATCATGTCAAAATTTGATGCAGCAATCAAGGAATCTAACATAATTTTAAACAGTCTTAAATTAAATAAGAATCTGACACAAAGTTTGCATATAAAGTACCAACTAATAAATTTGCTACATATCTGACGCATAGCATGGCATAAATCGAACTTGAATGTTTCCTTTTCATTTTTGGCTGTATTAGTAGATAAAGTTTCTCGTATTGATGTTTGAGTTACACTGATTGAATTTGTTTTTTCACAATTTCTTTTGTGAAGAGACGTTCTGCAGTGTTTGTTTATAAAATGTTTCTTTGTGCTCGAAATCTATTAAAAAAATTGAAAACAAATAATTGTGCCTGTAAAAGATAGCTAATACTGTGGATGATAGGTTGGAAGACATTTTTTTAATTATCGTAGACGAATGATAAATGAATTTGGAAATCGAAGAATGAAATATTTCACCAAATATGAGAAGGATTTTTTTTACTCTTTTTCCTCAACTCATCAGTTGAATGTTAAAAGCGTGGCGGAGAGTTAATCTGCCTTTTTCCAGACACTGAGACACCCGATATATATATTTAAACATTTAAACATTCAAATAGAAACAGTTTCCATGTTTCGTTTAGTAAATTGGAGCCATTTTCTGCTACATTACGAGAGTAAGCCAAATTGAGACAGCACATTTTTTTCATCGTGTTTACTGCAGCAAACATTTAACATTAAACCCCAGCCCACAGCTTACACAACATGAAAGTAATTACATAAATTTTTCTCTACTTTCCGCGTTCGTGCTCACACTACCCCATCACAACGTAACATAATTTGCTAAAACGAACAATGTTTGACCAGTCCGCCGATACGAATAATACAACGGAGGCCTCCATAAATTATTGGCAGAAGCAATAAAGCAAAATAGACATAGGATTGAATTTATATTTTGTTTGACGAGTTCTGGCTGTGATAAAAGAAAAATTTATTGCGTAGAAGGTAAATACAGTGTAGCGAAAGTAAAATAAATTGAGGTTATTATAATGCATACAGGATATTTATTTTATATTACCTGCCACAGGATAAGCAGGCGTGTTGTTGACCAGCAGCCTGGTGGAGTCGGCTCTTCCCCCGGGAGAGGCCTCCTCCCGTACCTCCACCTCCATGTTCTGTGAGATGCCACCGTGGCCCACGTCCCACTCTGCAACCCATCATACAAACATTATAATTAAGCGATCAGAACCTCCAATCTCTTGTACGTATTCAATCAAAGCGAGGCGTTCGCAGGATTGAGTCGTAAGGATCGGGATAATCGAGGGTGTCAGCGTCACGTCCTTGCCAGGTTCATTAGAGCGAGCGAAAGGGGCTAAAACAAGTACACTTGCAAAAACCGCACCGCTAAGCACTAATTTGTGTGAGTGATGGGGCTGTAGATCGAGGCTTGTAAAAACGTACGAAATCGTGAAATATCGATAGCACGTTCCACGAACTCGGGTTGAGGATGCTGTGGAGGACGGGAGTGATTTATGAGGGGGTTATGGAAATTGCGGGAGGTGTGTGATGATAGTGGATAGGATTTTTGGAGGATGTGGCCGGAAAAGTGTTTAAACGTTACACGAACGTGAACTAATATAGTTTTGGGTACACAAATGGTGCAGTATAACTTTGAACTTAACCGCAAGACGATTACGAGCGCAAATTGTTTGCGAGGGGCGGAAGTAAACTGGAGGGTAATTTGAATTCTCCTAAAATAGTATCTACTTACGTTCTACTCGACGTCTATTTTTGTATACTAATAATAATTTGTAACTTGTTCGAAGAACCGCTTTGGTTAAGATTGCCGTCAATCTGTAGTGGTGGCGACAAATCTAATCGCAGGATTCTCAGGGTTGTATTGAGGAGAATAATTGTCTGCCAGAGATTCACTCTAAAGTCGTAACTCTAGTTTTTTTAAGTGTGCAAATTCAATTCCAGGGAGCGAAATAATCTATTTGTACCCAAACTCAGCTGCAACTTTCACCTTATTATGGAAAAAAATGCAAAAAAAAAACGATTGCTAACGAAATTGGTTTTATTCTATGGGGAATGATGTGTTGAGTTCAAATTATTGCTATTTTTTGTGGGGTTTATAATATTCATACAACTACAAAATAATGTTCTACCACTGTAAACAAGCTTTAGCCTCAGCCAACTGAATTACAAACTAAAGCAAATACGCCCCTGTTCACCACTTGCCGATCTCTAAAGCCCAATCGACAGATTTACGAGTTTGAAGCGTAGACTTCTTAACTTTGATTGTAAAATTTTATTAGTGTACAAAAATACTGCTTCATTTTACTTTGTTGTATTTTCTGGATTATTTTTAAATAACCCAGAAAACTGAAACCGACTTATGTTTTAAATGTAAACTATTTTTAGATTTGTTTTATAAATTAATGTCCTCAAGTGACGAGAAATTTTACGTAATATTTATTAAAACAATCACAAGAAAATGTAGTCACATAATTATTTTTTTACAAATTTATACAAACTTTGGCTATAGTTCAAAGACTTTGTATAAATAATGGTTTTATTTTAATTGTGTTTTGTAAATAAACTTTTTTATTTATAACTTGTTTGTTTAATGGTTTCTTTTTTGTAACAGGCAGTAATCCATTCCCAGTCATATAAAAACTCTTAGATTTTTTTTATATTGTGGTAGGAGTATGTCATAAATTTTTCATCTGGTTTTCGGAACCATCCAAATTTGGATCTAAATACCGAGTGACTATTAATACTTGTAATTTTTCCTTCTCAAACGCAAGCGAATGAAGTTTTGCAATCGAGTTCATCGGGTGACTTGCTACTTTCATCTTTCTAGACTTTTCATGCCTCCTAGAGTACGAAAATTTTTATTAGGTAGATCATCTTCGAAACTACTAGACCGGATTGCCTTAATCCCTCACCTTATCTCCGGCCCAAACTGATAACAGCACTTATTGTAAACTTGGCATAAATTTTAACGGTCTATTTTTAAATCCTAATTTTAAAATCCATGCAAATAACAACAAACGCCCAACTAAATGAGTCATTAATGAATTGAAATGAATTCATAAGAACAAGTTCTACAAGATTCTAAAAATATATAGGAGGTCAAAATACATTTACAGAATAACATTTAGCATCGTACACTACCGCTGGTATTACCTAATTATAGGTACATATTCGTTTTAATATATAGAGGTTATCACAAATCGTCGCCTGAGAACTTACTTGATCTACAGACGACGCGCACTCAGGCCAATAGCGTCTCTAAGCGATGTATCTATAAGCCGACTTTTGTTAGAGCTGTTTTGGTCAAAATTTGCATTTTAAATTTAAGTATCAAATGGTAAAACGCTCACCAAAATTAGGCACCAACAATGAAATGACGTATTCTCCAAATTTTACGATAGTAGATGTAATTTAAAATTTATATCCTCTGTTTACGGTTTATGAATCTGTGTTGAGTTTTTACCTTAGATGTCAAGATTTTTGGAAAAAATCAACATTTTCCAATTTATAGTTATTGGAAGCATGTTAAATCGTTAGTCAAAATGTATCCGTTCATGCTCTCCATCTTACAATTTTGTTGAATAAATGTTATTTAAATGTTAAAAAGTAGTATATAGTTTATAAATACGCCATTGACATTTTTCGACTTTTCGATTTCTCGATTTTTCCACTTTAGATGTTTCAATTTTTCAATATTTCAATTTTGGGCTTTTTCAACTTTTGATTTCTCAATTTTCCGATGTTTCAATGATACAATTTCTCAATTTTTTTGGATATTTTTTTCAATTTTGGGAATTTTCAGTATTTCGATTTTTCGACGTTTCGATTTTTGGACTCCTGGGTTTTATGATTTCTAGATTGTTTACTTTTTGGATTTTCAATTGCTCGTTAAATTTTACATCTTTCAATTTTTCGACTGTTTTATACTTCGATTTTCCAAGTTTTCGATGTTTTATATTTTTCAATTTATAACATTCCAAATGTTTCAGTTTCTCGAATTTTCAGTTCGTCTTTATTTCAATTTTTCAATTTTCCTAATTTTCAAATTTTCGATTAATTTTCCAATTTTTCTTTTTTAAAATTTTTCGGTGTTTCAATTTTTTGATTTCTCAATTTAATTAATTCAATTTTTAAATTTTCTTCTCAGCTTTCGACTCCTGAATTTCTAGATCCTCTGATTTTTCGATTTTTCGATGTCTCAGTTTTTGAATTTTTCGATGTTTCGACTTTTCAGTTATCCGATTTTTGTATTTTTCATTTTTTTAAACTCGGGGGTCGATTTCTCGATTTGTCGATTTTTCAGTTTTTCGATTTTTAAATTTTAGATTTTCCAGTTTTTATTTTTTGATTTTTTGGTGTTTGGATTTCTTGATTTTTAAATCTTGCAATATTGAATCGTTCAATGTTTTAAATTTTAAGTTTTTCGATTTCTCGATTTCAGTATTTCTATTTTTCAATTTGTCAATTTTTGACGTTGCTAAATTTTCACTTTTCCGATTTCTCAATTTTTGATTTTCCCATTTCTCGGCCTCACAAAGTTTCGATTTTTCAGTTCTTTCAGTTTTTTCGACTTCTGGATGTTTTGATTTTCCTATTTTTTTTTTTGGATTTTCCGTTTTCCGTTTTTTAAACTTTAGATTTTTCAATTTTTCGACTGTTGATATTTCGATTTCTCAATTTTTCAACTTTAAAATTCTAGATTTTTCGATTTCTCGAATTTTCAGTGCTTTTATATTTTTCCGAATATTTAAATTTTCGATTTTGCAATTTTTTTGAGATATCGATTTATTCGGAAATTTCGATGTTTTGATTGTTCAATCTCTTGATTTATCAATCTTTCCAATTTTAATGGAATTGAAAAATTGAAATATCTATAGAAGAACTGAAAACTCAAGAATCGAAAAACTTAAAATTTTTAAAATTTAAAAGTTAAAATATCGAAAAGTTGAAAAATTGAGATATCTAAGTATAAAACAGTCGAAAAATTGAAAAATCTAGAGTTTTAAAAATGAAAAATTGAAAATCCAACAGCAAAAGTCGAGAAATCGAAAAATTCAGAATTTAAAAAATCGAAAATTCGAAGTACAAAAAAAATAAAAAATATATAATACACAAATTGAAAAATAGAAGAAAAGTTGAAGAATCGGAAAACTGAACACTGAACAAAATTGGACGAAGTATCCTAAAACTGAAAAATTCAGAAACCGAAAAGTCAAAAAAGCAAAGTCGAAAAATTACAAACTTAGAAAATCGAATAATTGACAAATCAAAAACCTGAAAATTCGAAAAATTGAAAAACTGAACAGAAACGTCGAAATTTAAAAAATTTAAAAATATTAAAGAACTGAAAAATCGAAAAAGCGAAAATTGAAAATCCAAAAAGTAAAGTCGAGAAATCGAAAAATTCAGAACTTAAAAAATTGAAAGGTCGACATACCAAAAAGTCCCAAAACTGAAATATCGGAAAATTGAAAAACAGAAGAAAAATTGAAGAATCAAAAAACTGAAAAATCACAAAATTGAACGAAATATCCTAAAATTTGGAAATTATAAAATTGAAAAATTCAGAAACCGAAAAGTCCAAAAAGCAAAGTCGAAAAATCACAAACTTGGAAAATCGAATAATTGAAAAATTAAAACCTGAAAAATCGAAAAATTGAAGAACTAAACAGGAACGTCAAAATTTGAAAAATTAAGAGATTTTGAAGAACTGAAAAATCGAAAATTTCAAATATTGAAAAATTAAAATATCGTAAAATTGAAAACAAAAAATCAAAAAAATAAAAATTCTGGAATTTAAAAAAAATCGAGAAATCGAAAATTTAAAAAATTGCAAAATTAAAAAATCGGATAATTCAAAAACCGTCACATCGAAAAATCGGAAAGCAGAAAAGTAAAAAATCAAAAAACCTATAAATCGAAAAATTCAAAAACTGAGACATCGAGAAATCGAAAAAACAAAAGATCGAGAAATCGAGGAGTCGAAAATCCAGAAGTCGAAAAATCGAAAAATTGAGAAAGAATGAAAAATAAATCACCAAAATTGTGACTAAAAATATGTAAAAATTATAAAGTAAGTGCACTTTCCCGAAAAAAATCTATTGAATTACGATTCCACTAGTATTGCTAATTAAAGACGTTTTGGTAGTATTAAAACACAATTAAAGAATTAATTCTTAGTTAAACAAAAAAAAAGTTACATGTCAAAATCGAGTGAAATACATGAGATGTGATATTATGTTTGTAAATAAAAGCACCTGAATAATAACCATTTCCCGCAGAAAGTCTGAACGCTTAGAGTCGACATTGGCCTAAATGCACTCCGGTCTGTGGATCAAACAAGTTTTCAGGCGACGAAATAACAGTTCGCAAACTATTTCACCAATTTTTTTCTGTCGGGTCGACAACATGTTTAAAGTTTTATGACATACTTGTGAAGTGAAATATAATTATTAAATCAGAAAAATATTTGTGGACCGGATTTAAACAAAGTTAAAATATCCATAAATGGTGATTAGTTATTTAATTTAAATACCCAGATAATTGGTGTAGACAGACAAAAACTTGACATTTAGATCGAGTGTTTTTTCATTTAATTCGAGAAAATAAGATATTAAAATAAAGTAAAAAATTGCATGGTATTTGTGAAATTTTCCATCGGATACTCGTAATCGATTGTTATCAATCGGGTCAAAGGAAAATGCAAAATAACCGGAGTATATAAATTGCTAATAAATGGACTATAAATTTATGAATCACTTAGGGCACCATCTCACAAAAACAAAACTCAGCTACTTTCCTATTAAAATTCAAAATTAAAACAACATTATACAACTAATTAATTTATGTGCGTAACGCTTAATTTATAATTATAATTTAACTACCAACATATTAAATTTTTCGGTAGTAACCTATCGAATCCACGTTTTAATCACGCGTCAATCAACCGGAACCTCGTTCGCATTGACATTGTGCTTAACCACTAAATCGAAAATTGATATATTGGATTCCTATGCAAATTTCGACACGGGCTCATTGAAACTATAGATACGTGTACATACTTATCGGTCTAAATAGCCAACAGTAAGTTAGTGTATTATACAGTAATGTGCACAATTTACATGAGCGGTATACCGGCGTGCACATGGCTGCTTGGTGTCGTGTCCAGGGACGGACGTTTGCTGGGCCTCGGGCGGCCCCGTCCGTCGAGCTTGCGTCGTCGAGAAGGTTCACGGTCCCGTGGAACCCCCAGGGTGTGATCTGAAACAAAGGAAATATTCGTACAATAAAATCAAAAATGACAAAAAATGACACGTGTATGTCATTTAAAAAATTTAAATACTATTTACCACTCAAAACTTTGAGTTGACGTCATCGAATTGTTGACGGGGGCGATCAGACAAATTCTTTCGTAGCTAACGCTTAGAAAAAAATGTTATCACAATTTGTAATAAATGAATGTTGACATATTTTTATTTCTCGAGGATAAGCTAAGGAAGTATTGTAACCGAGCCCCACACCTTTCATGACCTCTAGATTACGAAAAAATAGGTGTTCCGTCGAGTAGAACCAAAAATTTGCTAATCACTCCCACCAACAATTTGATGACGTCATCTCCAAAATTTATAATAATAAATTTGTTTTTATTTTTATAAAATAAAATACTCCTGCATTTGTACTGTATGAAACCGTGTTGAGTTTTCACCTTACACTTATCATAAAAAAATAAAATTCGCAGAATCAAAACTCATAAATTTCTAAAAATCTGGCTTTATTTACCTTCGACCGGTTTTTTTGTTATCAACATATTTAATTTTTCCTCTTTCTTCGATTTTACAATTTTTTGTTATCATAAATTTTTGTTGTTTCTTTAATTTTTTTTCCATTTTTCAAAGTTTCCCTTTCGTAACTTTTCTGCAACTACAATATTTTAAATTATTCGATTTTTCGACTTACAAATTTTTCAATTTTTCGACTTACAAATTTTTCAATTTTTCGACTTACAAATTTTCCAATTTTTCATTGTCCAATTTTTTAATTTTCATTTTGTCGGACTTACATCACAATTTTTCGTTTTTTCGCTTCTTTTAATTTTGAATGTTTGTTAAAACAAAAAATTGTAAAATCGAAAAGTAAATTAAATTTAATAATCTTACAAATTTCCAATCTTTTATTTTTCAATGTCTCGATTTTCTAATTTTTCAATTTTTGGATTTCTCATTTACCCGATTTTCCGATTTCTCTAGTTTTTAATATATCAATTTTACTATTTTCGTTTTTTAGATTTTGCACTTTTTCAATTTTTACGATTCTCAGTTATTAATCTTTCGATTTTTCAACATTTTCAAGTTTTTAATTCCAATTTTTAAATTTTTCAAAGTGTTCATTTTATACTTTTTCCTTTTTTCATTTTTGATTTTTCAAATTTACCATTTTGCAAGGTTTCCATTTTTTGAATCGAATAGTTGAAAAATCAAAATATTGAAAAACGGAAAAAATAAAAAATCGGAAAAAATTGAAAAATCGAAAAACTGAAACAATGGAAAGTTACAAAATTGAAAAAGTGGAACTCAAGAAACTTCAAAAAACCGAGAAAATCAATCAATCGAAAAATTGGAAAGTCGAAAAATAATTGTCTAGTCAAAATTGTAAAGGCAAAAATTGTAACATTGAAAAATAGAAAAATCGAAAAGTTAAATATCAAGCAATTGAAACATAAAAAATCCAAAAATTGAAAAATCGAGTAAAAGAAAAATTCTAAAATGGTAAAATTAAAAAAGTGAAAAACTTTGAAAATCATAATTATATTAGATATCGAAAAATTGCAAACCGAAAAATTGAAAAATCCAAAACCTGAAAAATTTCACACATAAAAAAAATTAGAAAATCAGACTACTGAGAAACCAAAAAATTGAAAAAATAAGTCAAATATAAAACGGAAACGAAAAATTACAAATTGAAAATCTGTGTAATTGGAAAACGAAAACATGCAAAATCTAAAAATTGAAACATTCAAATGTTGGAATGTCGGAAAACTGAAAAATTTTAAAATGACAAACTCGAAGAGATGCGTATCATAAAGTTGAAAAAAAAAGAAAAATTGACTGCAAGTCTTTAAAACATTGAAGAAACGAAAAATGGAGGGGATAAAAAAAATATGAAATCGGAATATGGAAAAATCGAGAAATAGAATAATCCAAAATTTGAAAAATTTCACAGTAAAAAAAAAAAAGGAAAACTAGAAAATGTAAAAACTGAAATACCCAAAATTTGGAAAATCAGGAAACTGAAAAATTTGAAAATAAGAACTCGAAAGAAGCATATCGATATCAATATTTTTAATTTTTCCTCTTCCTTCGATTTTACAACTTTTTGTTATCCAATTTTTGGTTGTTTCTTTAATTTTTCAATTTCGCTTTCATAATTTTTCGTTTCTGCAAGTTTAATATTTTAAATTTTTTGTTTTGCAATTTTTCGATGTTACAGTTTTTCATTTTCCATTTTTCAGTTTCTCAATTTTTAAGTTTTCGATTTCACAGTTTTTCGTTTTGTCAATTTTTCATGTTCTTGATTTTTATTTTTCATTTTCCCGATTTTTTAATTTTCATTTTCTCGATTTTCCGTTACAATTTTTCGTTTTTTCATTTCCCTTGTTTTTGAATGTTTGTTTCAATTTTCCAATTTTTCAATTTTGCAATTTTTGGATTTCATAATTATCGGATTTTCCGATTTCTATGATTTTTAATATTGCGATTTTACTATTTTCGTTTTTAATATTTCGATTTTACTATTTTCGTTTTTTAATTTTTGCAATATTTCCATTTTTTTTATTCGAATACTTAAAAAATCGAAAAACTGGAAAAATCGAAAACTACAAAATCAGAAAAAATAGAAAAATTGAAAAACTGAAAAAATGGAAAATTATAAAATCGAAAAGGTGGAAAATTTAAAAATTGCAAATCGAAGAACTGATGAAATGAAAAATCGGAACATTAAAAAACTAAAAATCGAGGACCATAAAAATCGAGAAAATTAATGAGTCGGAAAAATTAAGGAATCGAAAAACTGGATAAAAGAAAATAAAAACGAATTGAATCGAAAAATAGGAAAATCAAAAAATGTCTGTCTATGTTTTAAATTTTAGATTTTTCGATTTTTCAGTTCGTCATTTTTTTTAATTTTGCAAATTTTGACGTTTCAGAATTTTCACTTTTCCAATTTCTCAATTACTTAATCAGTTTTTTAATTTTCCCGTTTCTCGACTTCCTAAAGTTTCTATTTTTCAGTTCTGCAGTTCTTCAATTTTTCGATTTTTCAGGTTTTTGTTTTTCCAAACTTTCGATTTTTTAAGTTTGTGATTTTTGACTTTGCTTTTTTGACTTTTCGGTTTCTCAATTTTTTAAAGTTGCAATTTTTGGGATTTCATAATTATACGATTTTCCGATTTCTCTAGTTTTTAATATTTCGATTTTACTATTTTCGTTTTTAGTATTTCGATTTTACTATTTTCGTTTTTTAAATTTTGCAATATTTCCATTTTTTTGATTCGAATACTTAAAAAATCGAAAAACTGGAAAAATCGAAAACGACAAAGCCAGAAAAAATAGAAAAATTGAAAAACTGAAAAAATGGAAAATTATAAAATCGAAAAGGTGGAAAATTTAAAAATTGCAAATCGAAGAACTGATGAAATGAAAAATCGGAACATTAAAAAACTAAAAATCGAGGACCATAAAAATCGAGAAAATTAATGAGTCGGAAAAATTAAGGAATCGAAAAACTGGATAAAAGAAAATAAAAACGAATTGAATCGAAAAATAGGAAAATCAAAAAAATTGTCTGTCTATGTTTTAAATTTTAGATTTTTCGATTTTTCAGTTCGTCAATTTTTTTAATTTTGCAAATTTTGACGTTTCAGAATTTTCACTTTTCCAATTTCTCAATTACTTAATCAGTTTTTTAATTTTCCCGTTTCTCGACTTCCTAAAGTTTCTATTTTTCAGTTCTGCAGTTCTTCAATTTTTCGATTTTTCAGGTTTTTGTTTTTCCAAACTTTCGATTTTTTAAGTTTGTGATTTTTGACTTTGCTTTTTTGACTTTTCGGTTTCTCAATTTTTTAAAGTTGCAATTTTTGGGATTTCATAATTATACGATTTTCCGATTTCTCTAGTTTTTAATATTTCGATTTTACTATTTTCGTTTTTAGTATTTCGATTTTACTATTTTCGTTTTTTAAATTTTGCAATATTTCCATTTTTTTGATTCGAATACTTAAAAAATCGAAAAACTGGAAAAATCGAAAACGACAAAGCCAGAAAAAATAGAAAAATTGAAAAACTGAAAAAATGGAAAATTATAAAATCGAAAAGGTGGAAAATTTAAAAATTGCAAATCGAAGAACTGATGAAATGAAAAATCGGAACATTAAAAAACTAAAAATCGAGGACCATAAAAATCGAGAAAATTAATGAGTCGGAAAAATTAAGGAATCGAAAAACTGGATAAAAGAAAATAAAAACGAATTGAATCGAAAAATAGGAAAATCAAAAAAATTGTCTGTCTATGTTTTAAATTTTAGATTTTTCGATTTTTCAGTTCGTCAATTTTTTTAATTTTGCAAATTTTGACGTTTCAGAATTTTCACTTTTCCAATTTCTCAATTACTTAATCAGTTTTTTAATTTTCCCGTTTCTCGACTTCCTAAAGTTTCTATTTTTCAGTTCTGCAGTTCTTCAATTTTTCGATTTTTCAGGTTTTTGTTTTTCCAAACTTTCGATTTTTTAAGTTTGTGATTTTTGACTTTGCTTTTTTGACTTTTCGGTTTCTCAATTTTTTAAAGTTGCAATTTTTGGGATTTCATAATTATACGATTTTCCGATTTCTCTAGTTTTTAATATTTCGATTTTACTATTTTCGTTTTTAGTATTTCGATTTTACTATTTTCGTTTTTTAAATTTTGCAATATTTCCATTTTTTTGATTCGAATACTTAAAAAATCGAAAAACTGGAAAAATCGAAAACTACAAAGTCAGAAAAAATTGAAAAATTGAAAAACTGAAAAAATGGAAAATTATAAAATCGAAAAGGTGGAAAATCTAAAATATGCAAATCGAAGAACTGATGAAATGAAAAATCGAAACATTAAAAAACTAAAAATCGTGAAAATTAATGAATCGGAAAAATTAAGGAATCGAAAAATCGGAAAATCCAAAAATTGTAAATTCGAAAAATTATAGAATGGTCAAAATTGTAAAGGCAAA